CATTAACAAACATTTTCTTTTAAATAATCAAGAAAGTCAGCTGCAGCCTTAAAAGTCAGCAACAATGAAAATAAATAGAAAGTGATAATAATATACCCATTTTCAAATGAATGAACTACAGGGATGTGTGGTAATATTCTCAGTGGAATGCTGCAGGCTTATATTGTTACTGCTACTATAGCTGATGATTTCCTTTCTCTGACGTTAAATGAGTTAAAAAACTGCCATTGCCTCAGCCAACAACAGCTAGCTACTGCCAGTGGTTTACCTGGGAATGCAGAGGGTTGGGCATTTTTCCTGCACTAAAGAATACACATCTCGTATACAGATTACTACTTCAGACAACATCTGTGCTTTTAGTTTGTACTGCTTCCAGCAATAGACATTTGCTTGGAACATACCTTTTTGTATGGCAAGTCTCAGACGCCGAATGTTTCAGTGTCTGGGGATCCTGTGGAGCAAAGATGCACATTGATACATGCGTGCACACGTCCTCACTTTGTAGCTTTGTAACTAGACCATGGGTGTTCAGCTTTCAGCTTGGGTATCTTATTAGTACAGCAGAAAATAGCCTTCCCTGCCTTTTGCTTCTCCAAAATAAATTGAAAAGTAAAACCTTTTTTTTTTCAAATGGATGTTAGACAAAAATTCAAGAGCTAAATCTACCCCTAACGGTTTTGTACAATGTGAAAAATTACCAAAGAGATTGTATGAACAGGAATTTGTTGGCAGTTTGTTCATGGTTGAATTCGCATTAATTTGAGGGCCTTCTTCAGATGACATTTATTTTTGCTGTGCTTTGCTAACCATGAAAAGATAGTTTGAAATCTCCAGTTCAAAGTCTAATTAAGTAAGGTACAAATATAATTTCAAAGCAATTAACCTTCACTGTCTCTTCATGTCGCTTACAGTATGAATGTAAGAACAATATTTCCACAATGACATTTTTAAAAGGGACTTTAATTAAGGATCAACTCTGGAACCTTTCCTGCCAGAAGTACTCTCATTATCTTCATTGGGATTTTCCTTTTGAATAAGGACAGCTCACACAAATAAGACTTACAGGACCAGCCTAATGATTATAACTGTTATGGAACAAATCACTGGCTTTATTATCCACCTATACATTAACTTCATAGGTAATAAAAATAATAGTGTATTAATCCTTACTTACCTTTTACCTTACAAATGAGATGACAAAGTGATCAAAACCTTCAGCTGAACTGTCTCCTAAATAAAGCCTGAATGCTTACTGAGCCTGAAAAGAAGCTGTATTGCTCTTATGAATATTCAAGCCCTTGTGCATATTAAAATTCTAACAAGGGCAACAGAAACAGAACAGCTGAGGAAACTGTTCCATCTGAAAGCAATAAGGCTTAAAAAGCTCTCTAGAAAGCCTCTGCCTTGTCCAGCTTATAGCTCAGTAATGTCTGATGAATGTTTATCTACACCTAGTTTGGAAATGTCTTCAGCTCTGGCCTCTGAACAGAAATTTGAAGGGTGAGATTCTCCATAGACTGAGAAAGTCTCCTCTGAATTCCTCACTGGATGCTGTAGACCATGAAATTGCCTTGATGGCTATTCTGTGAATATGGATTTACTGACCACAATCAGAAAGAAGACAACCTGGAGCACAAAAATTTTGGAGGAAGAAATGCCCATAAAGTGTGGGAGAGAAGGGTGGCCGTAGAGAGGGATAAGTCCTGCACCAAACTTCATGATTCTCACCTAATAAGAGCAACTGCTGTGATTTTGGAGATAAACTGAAACCTCCCTGGCATTGTCCTAATTTATGTCAACCTCTAACTGGGATGTCGTAACATATAGTTACAACTACTTGAGATGTTCTCAACCTTTCAGTGCCTCCCACGCGTGTCTGATTATTTTCCTTCCCTGTGCCAGAGCTCCCTACCTCCTTGGTTATGGTGATACTGCTCTTTCTGGGGCTATTCTCCAGACAATTTCACAGAAATTAGCTGAGTATTTGAGTTAAACAAAAGAAAAAAAATCCTCTGACTTTTATATTCAAAACCAGGTGAGGAGTGCCTTTACCACTTGCAATTCCATCCCAAAACAATGATATTGCTAGGGATAGTCCGGGACATCCAGAGGACTAATTCTGGCACTCATTTTTCACCTTTGGTGAACTCTAGAATGTCTTCTGCATCCATGTCTCCATGAGCAATGTTGGAAAACACCAAAGGACATGTTCGTGGCCTACTCTAATCATGGTGAGTTCTCGCTCTCCTCTGTCCCTCCTGCCCTCACACACCTTTTATTGGCACAAGAATGGGCAGGGCAGAACCTCTGCACTTCTCATGCTCACACATGTTTTAGGACTGCTTCAGATAGTTCTGGAATAGGCAGAGGTCTTCATGGCAGTTATACTGAGTTGTTGACGTCTGCTTCACAGACCCATCTGGTTGTTCCTTCTCAGCCATGGGAGATCAAAAGCGATAACAACACAATTACTAAGTTTACAAATGAATGCAAATTACTAAAGTGTTTGTTTGAACAAGTAGTTCTTTTAAGATTGCATAATGTTTGATTTTTGCCTTTTTTCATTCATGACTCATGAAAATAGAAATATCTAAATGCAGAAAATCTATTAACATTGTCCAAAAAAGTTCTTGAAATAACTACTTGTAGTTGTAGTATGACAGAGTCATGATAATGATAACAGGTGGGCAAAATAACCTTATATCACAAGGAAAATAGGTTAACATTATTAGTGCTACCTGAATCAATATTGCTATTTTCCCTTATAATGTGAGTCAACCCTCAACTGAATTCTACAAGAACTCATAGCTAAGTTGGAATGAAAATTACTGTGCTGTTTTGATTTCATAAGTTATCTTCACAGTTCTTTTTCAGTGCTGTCTGGGAGGTCAGATGTTGGAGAGGAAAGTCAGACATTAAAAGAAAATGAATCAAAGTGGGGAAAATGCTAGCTGTTCATTTCTGGTTTGCTACTGCCTTTTAA